CAGCTCTGCTCCCCCCGGGCAAACCCTCAGCCTCACGGTCTTGCCCCACTCAAAACTGGGCAAAAAAGGCTGAATAAAAACCTTTGAGATACCTTTGGTGTAGGTCTGGGAAGGACAGGGGCAGTCTCAGTGAAAACATTGTCCAAACTAAATCTATCTTGGCTGTGGGTTTGTATTTAAGTATTTGGGGGACCTGTTTGGAGGAGGATTTGGCCTGACCAGGCTCTGGGAGGGGTTTCCACCTGCTCCTTTCTGAGCTCTCCTGATTGCAATATTGGAAACAGCTGTGAGGGGCTTGGGGTCCTCCCCGGGGCAGGAGAACAGCCAGCAAAAGGGAGAAGAAAGAGGAAAACTGGTTCTGTGCCTGCAGTCTCCCCCCAGGTACAGTTTATTTAATGTATTTTACTTCTGGTGGAGCACAGGTTGCTGCAGGAGTTACTGGAGGAGGGGGAGGGTCTTGCAGGGGTGGGCACGAGTGTCCCTGAAGCTGCAGTTTGGGGTTTTCAAGCGAGGGCAGGAACAAAGCCCCCCTCTGCCTTATGAGCAGTCGAGGTTTGAGCAGAAAAGGGCCTGTTTTGTGAGCAGCAGGGGGGTGACTGCCAGGGTGGGGAGGGCAGAGATGGCTCTGCACCCCGGAGTGCACGGGGTTTTACTTGGGGCTTTTCTGCCTGTGTCTGGGGGGGACACCCAGCTTCGTGCTGCCTTCCCCTGGCAGTGCTGGTGTCCTTCTCCTGGTGGGACGGGTTCCCAGGAGCCCACCCCGGCGTCACGGCGGGTCTGCAGCTCCCGATAGCGCCGGGGGTGCCCCGCCGTGGGGTGTGGGGCTGGACCTGTGTGTGACTGGTGCTGATAAACCCGTGTTGCTGCAGCCCAGGGAGGAAGATTCATGTTGTGCCAAGGGAGGTTCAGGTTGGATATTAGAAAAAAAAGTGACACTGAAAGGGTTATCAAGCCTTGGAATGGGCTGCCCAGGGACATGGTTGAGGCACCATCCCTGGAGGTGTTCTAAAGAGGGGTTGACATGGTGCTGGGGGACATGGTTTAGTGATGTGGTTTTTGTCAGAGTTGTGTTGACACAGCTTCGTGCTGCCTTCCCCTGGCAGTGCTGGTGTCCTTCTCCTGGTGGGACGGGTTCCCAGGAGCCCACCCCGGCGTCACGGCGGGTCTGCAGCTCCCGGGGTTTTCAAGCGAGGGCAGGAACAAAGCCCCCCTCTGCCTTATGAGCAGTCGAGGTTTGAGCAGAAAAGTGCCTGTTTTGTGAGCAGCAGGGGGGTGACTGCCAGGGTGGGGAGGGCAGAGATGGCTCTGCACCCCGGAGTGCACGGGGTTTTACTTGGGGCTTTTCTGCCTGTGTCTGGGGGGGACACCCAGCTTCGTGCTGCCTTCCCCTGGCAGTGCTGGTGTCCTTCTCCTGGTGGGACGGGTTCCCAGGAGCCCACCCCAGCGTCACGGTGGGTCTGCAGCTCCCGATAGCGCCGGGGGTGCCCCGCCGTGGGGCTGGACCCTGTGTGTGGCTGGTGCTGATAAACCCGTGTTGCTGCAGCCCAGGGAGGAAGATTCATGTTGGGCCAGGGGAGGTTCAGGTTGGATATTAGAAAAAAAATTGACACTGAAAGGGTTATCAAGCCTTGGAATGGGCTGCCCAGGGACGTGGTTGAGGCACCATCCCTGGAGGTGTTCTAAAGAGGGGTTGACATGGTGCTGGGGGACATGGTTTAATGATGTGGTTTTTGTCAGAGTTGTGTTGACAGTTGGACTAGATGATCTTGGAGATCCCTTCCAACTGAGATGATTCTATGGTTCTAAGATTCGGGCGCAGTGGGGTGTTGGGTGCCTGTTACTGGTGCAGTGAGGGCAAACGTGGAGCACACCCCTGGGGCTGCAGCAGGAGGAGGGGAAGGGAGTGATTTCCCGGTGCCTGGGAAGGAGCTGGCTCCTCCGGGGGTCCAGCCCCCAGCGGGACATGGGCTGTGGCTCCCTGCATGTTTTCCCATTTCAAGTGTCCCAGAGTAAGCACTGCGAAGGCTGTCTCACCCCCCAGCACTGCTTTGGGAGGAGCAGCAGGGACACATCCTGTCCCTCACCCACAGGGATGCGCCCTGTCCCATGGTGGGGGGTGCCGGGATGTGGGGGACACCCCGCTCTGCTCCTCCCTCCTCTCCCTGTGACCCCAAACCCGGCACCAGCTCCCCGGGGGAAGGCAGGGTGGGAATGTGCCGGGCAGCCATGGCAGCGCCCGCGGATGAGCGGAGGTGGCCGCGCGTGTTGGGATGGCCTCGGGTCACCGCTGGGCTCCGGCTGCCAGGGCCGGCTCCGGCCGGGACACACAGCCACTGTGTGGTCACCGCCGGCAGAGAGAGGCAGGGATGGGGACCTGGGAGGGGACCTGGGGTCACTCTGGTGGAGCGCCGTGCCCAGGAGCTGATGGAAGGCTCTGGCAGCAGGTTTGGCTGAGTGACGGTGTCAGGATGGGACCGTGTCACCTTCTTCCTGTCCTTCAGGCCATCACACCCCTCACTGCAGTGTCTGGGCAAGTGTTTGCCGTCAGTTCATACCCACTGGAGGTGTAACCAGAGGCAAATCAGGAGCAGGGAGGCAGGAGGGTGGGTGCCAGGAGCAGAGGGTGATGCTCAGCACCCCGGTTTGCTGTCACCCAACTGGGTCTCGTCACCCTTTGGGGCTGGTGGGGGCCGTCCCGCTGCCAGCCCCACCGCGGGTAGAGTAGAAAAAGCCGTTCACGACGTTAATGAAAGCTCTGACAAAAGGGAAGTGAAGGAAACTATTGTCTCCCCGGCCTTGTTCTCATAATGTCTGTGTGTAATAAGTCTTTTGGTGATGCTTGTGGCTTCTGTGACAAAGCAGTGATTTAGGGGGCTGTCTTTACAGAGGCAGAGCAGCTCACACGGGCCAAAGTGCTGGTGAGTAATATTTTACCACAAATTGTTGTAACTGGAGCTTGACAACTGCAGTAGGAAGGAGGGTGGGGGATTGCATGTGATTTATTAGATGACTTACTGCAATTTGCAAGAGGGAGCTTTGTGCTGGTGCGACCAGGGCTTTGCAAACCCTGCGAGTAGGAGCCGGGGAGGGAAAGCTCAGCGTTTCGCTGCGGGGATCCCCGGGGGGGGCACACACAGCCCCCCTGCAAACGGCTTCTCCAGCCCCCAGCACCTTGGGGTGCCCCGTGGTGGGTCCCCGCTGGGAACCGGGGCTCCTGCCTCTGGGTCTGGACATCGAGTGTGAAACAACCCCCCCGGGCAGCCCCACCGCCTCTCCCAGCCCTCACACCACGCCAGAAGCTAAAGGGAAGGTTTCCAAAGCCGACCTGTGAGGCGTCTTGGAGATGGGCTTTGGGGAGGGAGGGAGGGAGGCTGCTGCTGGGGCTTGCATCACTCCGAAAATTCAGGTCATGTTTACTACGGGCAGCTGGAAAATGATGATCTCAGATGCTAACAAGTAACATCTGAAGGGAAGCGTTGAAATGTTCAAGCTGTTTTGTAAGCACCTACTTCACTTTTTTCCAAATCCAGTTTAGCTATTTTTAAAGATTCATTTGTCCTCCTCAGTACCTGATGTCGGCTTATCTGAAAAAAGTGAAAAGGAACAGGAGATTGCCCTTCCTTTTAATTTCAAATGGAAAAAGTGATTTTGTTGTTTTGTTTTTTAAAAAGACCCCAAAACAAACAAACCAACCCACTGTACAGCTTCCTCTGCTGCAGACAGGACAGATACCTACGGTCTGAGGGCTTTTTGTCCTTCTGCGAGCTGACCTTGTGTAATTTCCTTTATTTACATTTGGCTGGCACTGGCCTCATTCACTACAAGAGTTTATTCAAGCCCTTTGCAGAGGAATAGCTGGGCTCCTACAAGTGAGTTCTGCCCCACGCTGCCCTCCTGTTTGCTGGTACACAGTAGATACATGCTGCTACTGAATAAAAATTACTATTCTTACCACCCTATTCTGTTCTGGCCTTAACGCCTTTGTACCAGGGTAACAGAGGACGTTGTGGGCAATTAATTTAAACCAGGTGGGAAAAGTTACTCAAAATAGTTTCTGTGCAGGGAGACAAGGGATAGTGCTGCAGCTTTATGAGCTTTTATTTATGTGAGCAGTCTGCAGCCTTTGTAATGCTTTTTTCTTTGGAGGGGGGTTGTTTTTGAGGAAGCTGTTGCAAATAGTGTTTGTTCACTGCTGTAATTGAGCCAGTCTCAAATCTGGAGACAGATCAGCTTCCCGGGACTTTGGTATTTGCGTTAAGTCTGCGCCGCTTGCGTGCGCCGTCACCCCTGGTCCGGGGCTTTTGCAACCAGAATGAAAACAAATTGCACTTAATTATGTATCGGTGGCGTGATGACTCCTTCAAGTAGTTGGGCTGCAAATCGAATGCCTGCCTTGGTATGTGGGGCTAAGCAGCAGGGCAGCGATTCCCCGCGGAGGGCTGGGTGATGCTGGGGGTTACGGGCTGAGCGGGGAAGGGCGTTCCTCAGCTGGTGTAAAAAAGAATGAAGTTTGAGGGAGAGAAAATTGCCCTTTAGTGCGACTACCCTGCTATTTAGTAGCTTGATTTCTGATACATGAGCTGCCTAGCCTGGCGTGGAGAAAGCGTTCTGCAATTCAGAAATGATAAAATAATTACAGGATTGCGTGCTGCTTGAAGACACGAGGATAATGTTCCCAAGTGCCACCAATTCAGTTACCACTCAGGAGAAGAAAAGGCTCCTTTTCTAATCAGGCCTCCCCGGGTAAGGGTTTACAAGAGGACCCTTGAGGTCAGCACTAATCTACCAGCTTCCAAGCAGCTCCTTTAAAAGCAGCAGGATTGCCCAATTCCCAGGGTAAACACGCTCCTCGGGGCTGAGGAAGCTGCATGTGACTGTGGCCGGACCCACGGGGCAAAGGGTGGCCCAGCCTGGTCCTAGGGATGGAGGAGAGGGAGAGGAGGAAGCTTTCTTCATTTTCTTTATTTAAAAAAAGAAAAAAAAAAAAAAAAGGAAAAAAAAAAAAGGAAAAAGTTTATTGCAAAACTCAGTGTTTTCGAGTATTTCCAGAGTCCACGGGGTAGGTTACAAACAGCTCGGTCAATCCCGCTGTGAACGCATTAAAGCCTGTTCCTGGGGCTGCTGCACCCGCACACACACAAACGCACACACTCCCCTGCTCGTGCCACCACGGACAGGAACAGAAACGTGGGGTGAGGTCAGTGACAAACCCATTATTTGATCTGTATTGAAACTGCGGTAAGAAAAAAAAATATAATAAAAATAATTAAATTACAGTAGAACCTCGCAAATCTGCAGAGCAGGGAGCTTCCACACACACGCAACACCTGGAGGCCTTATTCCACTTCCAAGCAGAGGTGTAACAGCAAAGTGCTGTAGTGAGGTCTCGTGTCACAAAGACTTCAATAATCTTACAATGACAGGCTACAGAACATTTACCAGAATGCTTGAAGTATCATAAATTAACAATAAATAAACAAAAGGTACACCTTAACGCAACGTCGCCGTTTGTTCATTTACTCACTGACTCACAGAACTCGAGGTGTCTGTGAGGGCTCTTCCAGTCCCGGGTGCAAGGCAGCGAGGTCCTGCTGGCCGTGATAAAGTGCTGAGGCAGAGGAAGGGCGCGAGACGCGGGTCTCGGGCAGTGAGGATGAATTGCTCGAGCCACTTGGTTGCAAGAGTGCCTGGTGTGTCTTTTTTTTTTTGTTTGGTTTTTTTTTTTTTTTTTTGGACATCTAAGACAGAAAAAACAAATCAAGCACCTTCCCAGAAAGAGTTGTGTTTTTTTTTTTTAACAGATTGTCCCACACTTCTATGGCTGGTGAAATGCAGACAGGTCAGCGTAGCAGTTAATGCATGATGCCACTTCCACTTAAATACACAGAAATGTTGGTTTGGGGGGGGTTGGGTTTTTCCCCCCCCCTCCCAACCAGAACAGACTTGTTTTATTTGTCCCCCTGAGTTGCTGAGAGGCGTTAAGATGCATATAGGTGGGTAAGCAAGCTCGTGTCACTGTGAGGAGGGGTCAGACTAAAGGAACAGCCAGCACCTTGGCTCCCAACGCTCCCTCCGTGCCTGCCATGGGCACAGGCTCCCTTTCCCACTGAAGTCAGCAGCAAAAAAAAAAAAAATTAAAAATCAACTAGGAAGCCTTTTGCAGACACTGGGGAGCTGGGGACGGGGGTACGGGTCCCAGCGGCCGCCCCGTGCCCGCGGGGGTGGCACATGGTGATGGGCTGGGTAACTGGGGGGGGTCCCCCCCTCCTTCTGCGATGGGGCAGAGGGCTCCTGGAACCCCCAGGGGAAGGGTTGGGGCACATTAAGACATCCTGGGCCCATGCTCCCTGCGGGGTGGGCTGGTGAGGGCAGCAGAGCTGGGTCCATGGACACCAGCTGAGGCCTTGTGGAAAGAGATGCTGGATCTGGAGTTTATTATTATTTTTTTTTCTCCTTTTTAAAATAAAAACTGGGTTACCCAAGACCTACCTATTAAAAACAGCTACACTCTATGCTGTAAGAGTAAGTTTCCCCAACAATTTCACAAGCTAGCAGAACAAGATTGGTAGTGAAGAGATTGATGTAAAGACAGGTTTCCATTATGCAAAAGATCATTTTTCCTCTCCTGTTATTTAAGCTAACCTCCTTTTACAATCTTAGAATAAATTAATAAATACTAGTTAAATTAGAAACAGTACATCAGATCTGGCTATCAATAGAAAACAGTTATAAGGATCCAATGGGGAGGAGAAAAATGATCTTATGAAATATGTGCAGTAATAACTGGCCATAAAGACATACGGAGCCTCCCATTTCCCAGCATTTGTGATGTTCAAGTTAATTAGAAGAACACTAGCAATGGTTTCAGTCAGGTATCTAGCCTAGCCTCCTCCTCAGATCTCAAACACGAGTCTGTGCTCTTCCAGAGGAGGTTCTGCTGGCTACTGGTGGTGTGTGGTGTAGGAAATGCTCATCTCCAGTTCATAGCGCGGGTGTTTCGACGGCGCGGGGCTGCGGCAGGGGCTGGGTGAGCACAGGCAGAGCCTGAGCTGCTGCTGCTCTTGCTGCTCTCAGTTTTTCTGGGATCAGTCGAACCTTTGCCTGTGTTTGTTATTGGGAAAGCAGGAGTGCGCATCACATCTTCATGCTAGACAGAAGTTACTCTTATGTGGTTATCCCTATTTTCTATGGAGCTTCCCGTTGTTGGTTAAAAAAGTTCTTTCTAATAATAATTAAAAAAAAAAAAAGAAGAGTTGTTGGTAGCAACTGTTCACATTTAAAATTTCACATTCCCTTTAGAATGTAGTTTTAAAACGTGGAGCAGAGCTGACGGTTCCCCAGTCTCACGCCGAGTACATTAGATGGAGAAGGAGCAGGGTTTTTTTTTTTATGCCGCGCTGTCACTGGCTTTTCCTGAATTTTCTGCTTTTCCGATATCCATTTCAATAAAGTCATCTGGTAGGTCTGGTGGGACCTGGGCCACGCTCTCCTCTGGGCGCTGCTGCTGGCGCTGGCACAGCCCGGCCTTGCAGGGTCTCACCAGGGAGAGGAACACGGCGCCCAGGACCATGCCAGCAGCACAGGAGTAAAAGGCTGAGCTGTAGTTCTGTGTCGTATCCACTAAGACACCTACGGAAAACACATTTACAGCCGTTACCCACAACCCGCTCTCCCTCGCCCGTCCCCCCCCCCCTCCTGCAGGGTTTTTAATCCGGGTACCGCTGCATCCTTTCATTTGTGATCAGAAGGGACTCCCTGTCAAACAGATGCTGCCTGGGAGCAAGAGCACCGTGTTCAGGGGCACGTAGTGTTCTCTTCAGGCAAGTCCAAAACCCTTTGGGCACCGCAGGGACGTGAAGTCCAAGATGCATCAGGCATCTTGTCATGAAGGCAGAGGCTGGGCCATTCTGCAGGGCAGGGACGCAGGCACAGCCAGAGCCACCCGCTCCTGCGCGCGCTACAGCCTGAAGCGGTGCCAGTTTTGGGTTTCTGAGAGGAGCAGGGGAGCGCTGCAGCATCCTCCTCCCCTCCGAGGGGGGGACTCTGCAGAGCTGCATTGCAGCAGCACTCTGCCCCCGAGAGCCTCCCAGCACTGGCTGCAGGGCGTTTGGGGTAGCACTTAACAATTAGCGCTGCCAGAACACTTTCTAGACAGAGATGGGCTGTCAAACATACCAAAAAAAAAATAGATTAAAGTTTTAGAGTTACCTGCAAGGGGTGGTCCAGCCAACCCAGCTAAGCTTTGAATGAAGACGTAGACTCCAGCTGCAGAAGACATCTTTGCGATGCCCACCACGTCGTCTTCTGCCAGGAGGGGGATATGGGTGCCCGCTACCGTCCCCAGCATGAACCCAAAAAATACGCTACATGTCATCAAGCCCCAGAATTCAGAGGCAAAAGGGAAGGCAAACAAGGCTACTGAGAGCAGGACAACGCAGATGAGTTCGATGTAGATCTTGCGGATGGGCTTTTTGTTGAGGACCCAGCCGGCTGAGATTCTTCCAAAGACCTCTGCGATGGCCATGGCAGACAGTATGTACGCAGAGTGGTCCTTGCCGATGCCAAGGCTGAGGCTGAGGGGAATGATGTAGAGGGAGGGAGCGAAGAAGCCCAGGGTAGCGAACAGGCCAAAGAATGCATAACAGATAAAGCTACAGTCTCTCATCACAGAAAAGTCCAGTAGTTTGGTTTTTGGTTCTGGAGGGGTGCTGTTATTGTCGACAAGGATCTGTACGTGTTCCTTTGGTTCTTCACTTTTCGGCTCTGCTTTGGTTTTTCCAGGCACATTGCTGGGTGAGGTAGTTATTTCTACTCCTGAGTCTATGGACTCTATTGAGGTGCGTGTTTGCTCATTTTCAAGCATGTACTTTGTCTCCGTGGGCTCTTCTGGAGGCTGCGCTTTCACTTCTTCTTGCTCTTTGATGATGATGGGTCGCAGCAGCGATCCGCAGATGACGATGCTCAGCTGCAGCACCCCCACAGACAGGAGGCTGTATCTCCAGCCAATCTGCTCCTTCAGAGCAGTAATTGCTGAGGGAAGAGGGCAGAAGAAGAAGAAAGTATAACTGGAAAAGCCTGCAGTTACACCAAGGAGCTATCCGAGTCTACAGCTAGGGAAGGAGCTGCATCACTGGAGGGTCCCAAGCCCCCCAGCTCTTGCAGGGGCCTCTCGGGGGGGTCCCCAGGGCCACCCAGGGGTCTGGTACCCATGTTCCTCCCATTGGCAGCAGCAGACAAGAGCTAGAAGTTGCATTTAAGATCTGGCTAGCGGAAGCTATCCTCTGGGTAGCCACTTTTGAGGTCCCAGTGACTCTGGGATGCGCAGGAACGAAGGTGGTGTTATTTTTAGTGAATGAGAGCAAACTCAACATTGGAGTTTCCTCTCTCTGCCGACCCCACCCTGAAACCAGCTACTAGAGGAAGTCTCTTAGCTCTGCTCAAAGGTGCTTGTCACTGCTCTGTTACAAGCCTTCACTTGCAATGGGTAGGGGCTGAAAGCCTGCAGGGCCAGAAGCCCCCCCAGGCCGCAAAGGAGAGGCGGTGGCCGGGACGTGCTGCCTGGGGACAGGTCCCCACAAGGCCAGGAGCAGTCTGGCAGCCCGTGCTAAGCACAAGCCCACTAACCTTTAGGAGCAGCTATGTGTACTGCCTGTGTTTTAAATAGCTGAAGTTTCTTGGTCTTATTTTTAGCCTGCGATATCTATATAGGGAGCCCATCAGGCTGCGTATCGGGGAGGCACGTCCCGCTCTGGCAGGCGATGCTGGGAGAGCTCAGGCACCCTCAGACCCCTCTCTAGGATTACTTGTAACCCTGCCCGAGGGCAGGAGCCTCAGGGGCACGTGAGCAGCCACCTGTGGGCTCCAGCAGCTCAGGGGAAGGTCCACGGGCAGCCTGGTCTGGGTGGCTTGGGGGAAGGACGGGAGCAGTGCCAGGCTTTAGGCACGAGGGTGGGGACTCCCAGGATTTGGGCACTGTACCTGGTGCGAAGGAGAAAACAGCAAAACATTCCCCTGTGGATGCCACTGCTGTGACCAGCGAACGTCTTTTGTCAAAATACTGTGATAAAATGGTGACAGTCGGGAGGAAAGAGAGGCAGTATCCGAGGCCTGTGAATAAATGCCAAAAATTGCCATAACAACAAGTAAAGGAGGGAGAAACACCGATGCGAGAACACGTTAAGTCACTTTCCCGGTGGTTACAGTAGCATTTCGGCCAACTCGGCCAGTCACCCTGGAAGAAAATCATTGGGGAAACCAGAATGTTATTTTTTTAAATTGGAGGGGGGGAAAAGAAAAAAAAGAAAGAAAGAAAGAAAGAAAAAAAACCAAACCAAGAGACCCAACCTCCCAAACCTGCCAGATAATGCCTTCTGTTCCCCAGCAGCCAGCGGGGTCCGCTTTGAGGACCTCATCTGCTTAAAGAGTTTGAGTTGCTCCCCTACGCCAGGCAAGCTCCCGGCCACGGATGCGAGCAGGACACCCAGGCCAGATGGGAGAGGGGAGAAAAGTACCAGAAGGAGAGAGGAAAGAAGAGACAGAGGTTAGAGGATTTGACCCCGTGAAGAGCTTTCACCTCCCCAGCGATCCCAGTCAGTCGGAAGCAATGGGTACAGCTGTGCCAGCACAGGGTCTGCGGGACAGTCCCGAGGTGGTCCCCAGGGTGACACGGGGCAGCAAGCCAAGCCTGGAGCTCAGGTCACCACCTCCACCAGGAGGGTGAGCTCAGCCCAGAAGGGGCAGCAGCACTTCCCAAGCGTTCCCAGTGTGATGGGGAGTAAACCCCACCTTGGCCGAAGGCGCAGGAGCGAGCGAAGCATTTGGAAGGTCCAGGAACAGATGACTCACCAGAGATGACACCAATGGTGACATACATGTCCACAACTGTCCGGGCAAAGGAGGCGGTGACCATGCCGGTGCTGATCAGCACCCCCCCAGCCATCACCACGAAGCGGTGGCCGAAGCGATTGCTGAGGACCGTGGAGAGAGGAGCTGGATGGGTGGGAGAGGAAGAGAGCCGTGGTCAACACCCGCGTCAGCGACTTCACCAGCCACCATCTCCTCCAGAGGCTCTTCTCGTACCCCTGCCCAGGTCCCCGTCACATGCCACCTCCCCTGCCCATTGGCCTCATGCAGGGGGGTGTCACCCCGGGGCCGTCGTGGAGCACCAGCATTTAGGATGGGCTAAAAAAAAACCATCAGAAGAGGTTAGACAGGTGTGTGACAGCCTGGGACAAACCTGCACCAACACCCACCGGCACCAGTGGATCCGAGCCAGGCTCCAGTTATTTCTAATCCTTTTCACGACAAGGGGAGGTTTCAAAACTCCTGTTTTCTCCCCTTGTCGATGAGGTCAGGCCAGGCCAGTGACACGGACCATGTCCCTCTACCACACAGAGGACCCGAGTTGGGGCTCAAAGGGCTGAGATAGACATTTCTTGGTATTTCAGGCACACGCAGCCTCCGGGCTTTATGGCTGTCATTTAGAGACTGGAAAGTCACAGGTGCCAGGTGCTGGGGTGCTGAGTCAGCAGCACCACTGCTGCACCCACGCCAAACGCCTGCCCCTCTTACCTGTGAAGGTCTGTACAAACACACATATGGATATTATCCAGGATATCCTGCTGTTGGTTTCGTCAAAGCTTTCCATCAGGTCGTTAAAGAAGACACCGAATGATTTTATGATGCCATATGTTAGAGCTTCCACGAAGAAGAAAGCAAAAGCAACTGTCCAACCCCATCCTCCGTCAGGCACTTTAGTATAAACATTGGGAGCCGCGCACGACATTTTTACAGCTTTGACAGTCATTTTTGATCTGGAAAAGAGGGGAGAAGGAGCCAGGCATCAGTGTAAGCTGAATTTTGCTGAAAGAAGCACAGCCTGGCGGCTGCAGCATCCCTAAGGCCCCCCCGGTGCCCGCGCTGCCGGGGGACTACGTGCAGGAGTTGGGCTGAAGTTTCTGCCCCTGTGGCCCCAGGGGCTCGTTTCTGCTGGTGCCCTTTGAGCCCAGGACCAGGCACTGCCCGGGAGAGCTGTCCCCATCAGCAAACCCCGCACCCGGGAGCCGTCATCTGTGTTTTGGTGTGTGGGGGTGGAGGGAGGGATGCAGTTCGGGAAAGATCCACCGCAGGACCCGGTGCAGGCTGCTGGAGCTGCAGAACCCCCCGGAGCACCCGTCCTCCCCGGCCTGGGGTGGCTGATGGCACCTCTGTGTCACCCGTCTGTGCCAGGGTGGGTCAGTGCCACAACCCACCATCACACCCCGTGGGCTCCTAAACCCACCCGGGGGCCGCTGGCTCTCGGGGTGACAGTACCGCCTGGGGAACCTGCCTGTTCCCCAAAATGGCTGCTCCAGGGCTGCCAACCCCGGCTGTACCCTGACAACAGGGGTGGGGACACCCCCGCCGCCACCAGCCTCCCGTGCTGTCCCCTGCACCCCTCGGGGTCACTGCCTCCCCAGGGCAGGAGGAGGCTGAAGCCCCCGTGGGCTGCCGGGGGGATCCCCCCTTAAGGGGTGTGTGTGTGTGTGTGGGGGTGTCTCTTCAGTCCTGCCCTGTGTCACCTGGGGGCCGTGG